ACAAAAAGAACATTGGGGAACTTGAGAAAGTACAGAGAAGAGCAGCTAAATTGATACGAGGCATGGAGGAGCTCAGCTATGAGGAAAGATTAGAGGAACTGAATTTTATTCTCTCTTGAGAAGATTAAGGGGGGATATGATCAACATGTATAAATACATCAGTGGTTCATATAGTGAACTCGGTGTAGAGTTATTCACCCTGAGGTCATCACAGAGGACAAGGGGGCACGCTTTACGTCTGGAGGACAAAAAATTTAATCACCAAACACGGAAAGGTTTCTTCATAGTGAGAGCTGTGAAAATGTGGAATAGACTCCCTCAAGAGTTGGTTCTGGCCAGCTCAGTGCTTTAAAAAAGGCCTGGATTGTTTCTTAGATACACAGAACATAACTGGATGCTAACATTTATAGGTAAAGTTGATCCAGGGAATATCCGATTGCCTCTCGGGGGATCAGGAAGGATTTTTTTTTCCCCAGCAGGAGCAAATTGAATCATGCTTTGCTGGGGGTTTTCTTTTGCCTTCCACTGGATCAACTGTGGGTTTAGGATTATAACTTTTTTTTTTTTTTTTTTCTATGGTTGAACTGGATGGACTTTTGTCTTTTTTCAGCCAGACTAACTATATAATTTCCAAATTCTGACATGCATAACAAGAGATACATTCAGAGTTTAGGCTAGTAAAAAAAAATCATTCAAAAACAAAGGTCTTGGTTGCATATATTTGCAGTCATATGTGAAATCACCTTCACTTATAGCCTTTCCAAAACATGATTGAAAAAGAAAAAAAAAGTACCAGCCTCCAACCTCCCCTTAAAGCTGGCCCAACACATGCCTAAAAAAAATACCAGCCTCTAACCTCCCCTCATAGCCGGCCCAACACACACCTTAAAAAAAAAAAAGTACCGACCTCTAACCTCCTCTCATAGCCGGTCCAACATACACCTGAAAAAAAAAATAACCGGCCTCCAACCTCCCCTCATAGCCGGTCTAACACAACTGAAAAAAAAAAGTACCGGCCTCCAACTTCCCCTCTTAGCCAGTCCAAAACATGTCTAAAAAAAGTACCGGCCTCCAACCACCCCTCATAGCCAGTAATACATGCCTGAAAAAGATACAAACCTCCAACCTCCCCTCTTAGCCATTCCAACACATGTCTGAAAAGAAAATAACCAGCTTCCAACCTCCCCTCATAGCCTGTCCAACACACTCTCGAAAAAAAAGTACCGGCCTCCAACCTCCCCTCTTAGCCGATCCAATGCACACCTGCAAAACTGGTTATCGACCTCCAACTTCCCCTCATAGCCAGTCCAACACATGCCTGAAAAAGAAAAAAAAAGGCCTTCAACGTCCCCTCATACCCAGTCCAACACATGCCTGAAAAAAGAATAACCAGTCTCCAACCTTCCCTCTTAGCCGGCTCAACACACACCTAAAAAGTAAATAAGCAGCCTCCAACCTCCCCTCTTAACTGGTCCAATGCACGCCTGCAAAAAAGACTGCTGGTCTCCAATCTCTCCTCATAGCCGGTCCAGCGCACGCCTGCAAAAAAAAACAGACTACCGGCCTCCAACCTCGCCTTATAGCTGGTCCAACACACGCCTGCAAGAAAAACACCACTGGCCAACTTCCTCTCATAGCCGGTCCAGAGTATGAAGGTCACACTCTAGTGGTGTGACCTTTGTAACTTTTTTGTAGAACGCAGAATGCATTTGCGAAGTGTTCGTAGAATTTTATAGTCATTGTCATCTATTGGTGGAATCTGAAAGCGATCCTGATGTTTTCATGGAGTCTCAGTATCAACGTCACTTTCTGGAGGAAATGTAAAGCGAACACCACATTTTGGTGGAGTTTCAATGTGAACGCAACTTTTCTGAAAGTTTTTGTGGAATGTTATCATGAACTTCGCTTATTGGTGGAATCGGAAAGCGAACAGTTTTGGTGGAGTCTCAATGTTAACGCAACTTTTTTGAGAACGTAAAATGCCTTGAAGTTTTTGTGGAATGATATAGTGAAAGTCACTTTATTAGTGGAGTCTGAAAGCGAGCACAAGTTTTGGTGGCGTCTCAATGTGAATGTCACATGATGGTAGAGTCATCCTTCCAGATGTGCTTACAAAAACTGATTGGCAGCCCACAAATTCTGCAACACCTGTACTTCCCCCATTCACTGCCCAACCCGGAATTCAGGTGGAAACTGCAAATTTAACTACTCCCCTTGATTTTTTTTGGAGCAGTTTTTCACGGAAGATCTGTATGTATTGATTGTGGATCAAAGCAATTTATATGCACAACAGTTTATTGCCGCCAACCCAAATTCAAACCTTGCCAGACCATTCCCATGGAAACCCATTGCGGTTTCTGAATTTAAATTTTTTGGGACTTAACGCTCAACATGGGCATTATTAAAAAACAATGAATTGCAGTTGTGTTGGTCCACAGACCCGATTCACCATATGCCCGTGTTCTCTGGTGCCATGGCCAGGCATCAATATGAGAGTATAATTTGTTTTATGCATTTCAACGACAATACACTCTGTTGTCCTCAGGGTGACCCTGACTTTGGCCAGCTCCACAAAATTTGACCCTTGTAAATCACCTTAACCAAAAATTTGCAGATGTCTATACTCCCCAGCAAAACATCCGCGTTGATGAGTCCCTCATTAATTTTTCTGGCCGCCTGGCATTCAAACAATTTCTCACTAGCAAGCGTGCCAGATATGGGGTCAAGATGTAAAAGAACTGTGAGAGGGCAACAAGCTATACATATACGTTTCGGATTTATGAGAGAAAAGTCACGTGTAGCCCCCCTGGATGCCCAGACTACATGGGGAGCAGTGACAAGATAGTTTGGGATTTGGTGTCATCCTTTTTCCATATGGGGTACCACTTATAAATGGACAATTTTTATACAAGTGTGCCACTATTTAGACATTTGTACAATCTTGGAACTGGCGCATGTGGCACCATGTGACCTAATCGCCGGGGCTTCCCGCAACGGCTTGTAAATACCTGTCTTAGGGGGAAAAAGTCTGCTTGAGAAATGAGCAATTGCTCGCAGTGAAGTGGAAGGACAAACGTGAGATTTTCGTCCTGTCTTCCATTCACGCAGACATGACCATCCAAATTGCCATGGCAGCTGGTGTTGTTGAGAAGCCCTTCTGTGTCCACAACTATAACCTTAACATGGGAGTGGTGGACTTCAACGACCAGATGATGAAAGCCATACTTATGCCAGCCATAGACGTTTTTTGTTTATCGGCCGAATTTTCAGTCGTTCTGTTGCCACCAATGCTTACGAAAATTGGCCGTTTTTCGTAATTTTCCAGCATGACCGATAAAAGAAACAAGGAGGAACCGCGAAAATCTGCCGACGACATTGTCCCACTAACGGTGCGAATATCAGCCGATTTATTCTTTCAGACAAAAATTCGGCCGATAAACGAACCGTCTATGGCCTGCATTAATTTCTCAAAAAACCAGACGCTGGTACAAAAAAGTGTCTGTTTCAATTGGTTCTATATAACGCTTTTGTGCTTTACAAAGCAACGGGACAAAGTGGATCCTTCCTAAAATTCCAGGAAGAGATCATCATGGCCCTTTTGTATCTAGAAGGTGGTGTGGCCCAAACCCCCAACCCAGATGCAGTTATCCGGCTGCATGAGAGGCATTTTCCCGATGCAATTCATTTTTCATCCGCAGTTAAAGAGCATATATGTTGAAGCATGGGAGCCTGGGATGGCCAGTGGGTGGATAGCCCCTATGCTTCGGCATATATATTTTATAATATTTTTTGGCACATATTTCAATAAATAAGTTGATTTATTGAGTTACTGTTTTATTGTTAACCATTACGTTTTTTTTTTTTTTTTTTTTTTTTTTGTTTTTTTTGCAGGAATGCCATTCAGATGCAGCACCGACTTGTTTATTCTGACAGCAACAGGGTCTTGCTCTCAGAATATACATAAGCAGGTGTGTACAGTGCTGTTGGATGAGATTTTTCATCCACAGTTTAAAAAAAAAAAAAAAAAAAAAAAAAGCATATATGCCGAAGCATGGGGGCCTGAGGTGGCTAGTAGGTGGATGGCCCCTATGCTTCAGAATATATTAGAAAAAAAAAATTTGGCACAGATTTCTTCATCCACATCGACTGATGTGAATAGAGGAATCTGTTAGGTTCTTTTTTTTTTTTTTTGTTCAGCCCAAGGGCTATTCGATGTGTGCCCACCATTAGAAGTGGGTGGATGCAGGGTGGTATATTCTAATGATGGGCATATCACACACTTTACTACTGGCAAAGATTTCTTCTCTTTTTTTCCTTCAGCCCACAGGCTGCATAAGAACATAGCATAAACACATATCAAGGACCAGTGACGTACTGGTACATCACTGGACTTTGGTTATACCAGGATGATGCCTGCAGCTTTCACACAAAGCAATCAATATACACTTACTGGGATTTTTTTACCAAAAACATGTAGCAGAATATATTTTGACCTACATTTATGATGCAAATTTGAGTTTTTTTGGATATTTTTTGACAGAAATGAGAAAACATTGTTTTTTTTTTTTTTTCAAAAATGTTGGTCTTTTTTCTGTTTATAGCGTGAAAAATAAGCACACAGGTGATCAAATACCACCATAAGAAAGCTCTATTTGTGTGAAAAAAAGGACATACATTTAATTTATGTACAGTATTGCATGACAGCGCACTTGTCAGTTAACCACTTGCCTACCAGGCACTTATACCCCCCTCTTTACCAGACCAATTTTCAGCTTTCAGCACTGTTGCATTTTGATTGACAATTGCGCGGTCATGCAAGATTGTACCCATATGAAATTTTTGTCATTTTTTTCTCACAAATAGAGCTTTCTTTTGGTGGTATTTATTTGCCGCTGGGCGCTTTACTTTTTGCTCTATAAACAAAAAATTGCAAAAAATGTGAAAAAAAAAGTTTCTTTGTTTCTATTATAAAATTTTTCAAACAGGTAATTTTTCTCCTTCAATGATGTGCGTTGATGAGGCAGCACTGATAGGCGGCACTGATGGGCACTGCTAGGCAGCACTGAAGGGCACTGATAAGCAGAACTGATAGGCAGCACTAATGAGGTGTCACGGATAGGCGACACTGATGATGGGTACTGATAGACAGCACTGATAGGTGGCACTGACTGCTGGGCACTGACTGGCGGCACTGCTGGGTACTGACTGGCGGCACTGCTGGGCACTGACTGGCGGCACTGCTGGGCACTGACTGGCGGCACTGCTGGGCACTGACTGGCGGCACTGCTGGGCACTGACTGGCACAACCGCTGGGCACTGACTGGCGCCACTGACTGGCAGCACTGCTGGGCTGCACTGATGGGCACAGGTGGGCGGCACTGGTGGGCACAGGTGGGTGGCACTGCTGGGCACACTTGTGTGACACTGCTGGGTGGCACAGGTGGGTGCACTGCTGGGCACAGGTGGATGCACAGGTGGGCGGAGCTAGTGGGCGCACGGCTGGGCACAGGTGGGCGGAGTTAGTGGGCGCTGCTGGGCACAGGTGGGCGGAACTTGAGTGGCACTGCTGGGCACCAATCATCAGGGCACTGATCGTCAGTGCCCTGATGATCGGTGCCGATCCCTGCTCTAACAACTGCCGGTTCTTGGCAGTACTTTCCTCACGATCTGACAGCGTGAGGAAAGTGCAGCCGAGAACCGGCAATTGCATTTCCCGGTGATCAGCGTATCATTGGACACAGCTGATCACGTGGTAAAAGGCCGCTGTGATTGGCCTTTTACCACATCACGTGATCAGCTGTGTCCGTAGGACACAGTGATCATGGAGATCGTTGGGTGCGCGCCCCCAGGGGCGCGCAGGAGAGCGCGTTCTGTGAGGACGTCATATGACGCCCACCCAGAACTGGCCGGCCGCAGTGCAGCCGTCATTCGGCTATCTGTGGTCGGCAAGTAGTTAAACTAGCGCAGCGCTGTATAGCAAAAAATGGCGTAAATTGCAGTATCTAGACCATAGTTTGTAGATGCTATAACTTTCACACAAGGCAATCAATATACACTTATTGGGATTTTTTTATGAAAGACATGTAGCAGAATACATTTTGGCCTAAATTTATGACTAACTTTGTGAGTTTACTATATATTTTTTATAGCCGAAAGTAACATTTATTTTTTTAATTTTCGGTCTTTTTTCTTTGTTTATAGCGCGAAAAATAAAAAGCGCACAGGTGATCAAATACCACCAAAAGCAAGCTCTATTTGTGTGAAAAAAGGAAGTAAATTTCGTTTGGGTGTAGCATTGCATGACCACGCAATTACCAGTTGAAATAATGTAGCGCCGAATGGCAAAAAAAAGGCCTGGTCAGGAAGAGGGGTAAATCCTCAGGAGGGCAAGTGGTTAACACACTTCTCTGTCTGGTTGGAGGAGCAACAACCTATGGGCAGCAGCATTTTAATTTTAGGGGTCGGGTAATACCCGTTCGTTTCGCTAGCATATTTAGATAGGCTTGACTATCAAATTAAAACTGAACTTCAGCTAACATTTTTTAAGCAGTTAAAGAAACTGCCAAAGAGTTAAATGGCTTGTCTCAACCCTCTTACTGCCAATTTTGCTCTACAGCTTGGTCTGTTAAAGGAAATTAAAAAACAGACTTAACGGGGGAAAACAAAGGGAAAAAAAAAAATAATGCAGCCACGCCATTTAAGAATTGGCAAGCTGTAATGTATTTTTGGTTTCTGGGTTCAATACCATTTTAAACTATTAAGCATCGAGCAACTGCTTCTCATATTTGCAAGCCTTCCACTTGGTCTTCTGTTTACATGTTCTCTAATGTCTACCAGGTGGACATTTCGGCCTCAGTTATTGCGAGCTCTGAGCCGCAGGCAGTCCTCACTTCTTGAGCTTGTTGGCATTTATTGCCTGTGTTGTTAACCCCTAATTTGGACTGCTTTTGGACATTCTGAAGATTAAAGGCTTTCTACGTCCCTCAATGGACAAGAAAGCAAATCCTTTTTTTTTTTAGTCTATTGAGGGACACAGGCCCCTGCTTCTCTGTGTGTATGATCATGCTATTCGCATGCTTTGCCACAAGACTGAGGCATGCTATTAATAGGAGAGAAAATCCTAGTCTGACCTAGAGTTTTTCTTGCCAGTGTCTAATTGTCCTGTAGGCAGCAGTATAACCCAAAAGGTAAAATACTTCCTGTGTCCCGTAAGGAAAGGATTTTACATTGAGTACAACAATTCTATTTTGCACATCATAAAAATGTTTTGCGACACAAATTAAATAAAATAAAATTAATGAATTTGCCAATAGTCACCATTCAGACTCATTTTTGTATATAGCATTGATATTATCTCTGATAGCTGAGATTTTTTATTGTATTTTGCCATTTTAGTGGTGTTTATAGGATGAGCCTTTAATTTGCTGTAAGATATTGTAACACACATAACTGAACAGTAGATGTCACTGTTTGTTTTCTGGAGAGGTTTCGGATTTTATTCTGTATGCCAAAGCTTCAGTAAACCTATGTATCCTGTCTTGATTCATGAAACCTGTTCAGATTTCAGCCAGTAATGCATTTGGCAGAATGAGAACAATTCCTCCTCTATAGTGTGCACAAAAAAAAGCTGCTCACTTGGCTGCTGAAATAACTATTTAAGGCTGGTCCTTAAATGTCATGCCGCATTGAAATGTAATACACGGTTACAGGCCTTTGTCTTCTGCATCACTATTGTGCCCATGTAGGGAGATTCTATTAATTGACGAATATTAAAACTCCTTATTGCATTACATAGTTTAGACTATATATGCATACTTTTGAAGAACACCTATCGCCATTTACTAGAATTTTATCTGTAACAGCAAATGTATATATATTTTAAATAGGTAGTCTGTTTATGTTTGTAAATATATGTAGTATGTTTTGTAAATATATGTAGTATGTTTCTTTTTTTGCATTTCTTAAATACTCCATTGTTTGAGTGGGCTTGCTTTCACAACTGCATAAAAGTGGTCATAGATAGTAGTTAGGTCACTGGTAAATGACCAGACTGTCAGAAGATAACCAGATTGTCATCCTAACTGCTGGAAATTATCTCTGGTAGATTATTATTATTATTATACAGGATTTATATAGCACCCACGGTTTGCTCAGCGCTTTACATTATAGTGGGAGACAATACAGATCAATACAAGAGGGATTAGAGGGCCCTGCTCCTTGGAGCTTACAATTTAGGAGATGACTCCCATATAATGCCCAAGTACCTTTTTAACCATGATCACATATCATTTCTGTGATTAATCATCAGAAATATGGTTCTGAAAATGGTAGCTGGGACAAGAATTTTTGAATCTGTGATGCAGGGACCATGTTTCTGCTGACTATTTTAATAAAGGAATTATGATCCATCTTGGTGTGTAGCATTCCTGTTGATGCAATCTAGGATGCCCATTGGGGGGGCACCATGAGCGCAGTATAACATATCCTGTATCACGTCCCTACTATATATCATGTTGTGTTTAGAACTAAGAATATGAACTTTTCAGGCACATCCCGGACCAATATTTATAAAACAAACTACATTTTATTTTACAATCCTAAAAAATCTTGTACAAGTAACATTTTCATACAGGACTTCATAAAAAACATTTACATCCTCTCTACTGTGTGATCCCCTTATTACACCTCCGCTGAGGATTGCTACACCAGCAGTTTCCAACTCCTCTCAGTGTCAGGGTTCCACCTTCCTCTGATATTAGGCTTACTCTACATGTTTTGCAACAAGGGTCGCTTCTTCAGGAGATTATGGTGGGTCTATTTCAAGGAAGAGTGTACATAATATTACCAGAAAATATGAAGGAACTCAACAGGCAGGTTGTTCAAAGCTTCTAGGACAACTTCTGCTGATTCAGGCTCCATGCACACTGGCTTAAAAAAAAAACACTACTCCTAGAGGAGTTTAGCATTTTGCCTGTAGAAGCAACTAATATTATCCTATGTGTCCATGCACATTAGGTAGACCAGAGGTGTTTTTTTAAGCTCCACATTTAGAGGCAGAAAAAAACCTTCTGTTCTTGTTTTTTTTCTGGCAGAAGAAATGCTAAACGCTAGTACAAAAAAATGCTCGCAATATGCGGGTTTTTTTTTCCTACCAAGAACACGTGTGTTTTTAAGCCAGTGTTCATGGAGCTTAAGGGTTTCAGTTGTTGCTTCATTCTCTTCCTGTAATCCAAGACGGATTTAATAATGTTGAGATCAGGGCTTCGTGGAGCTATACCATTGCTTCCAGAACCCTTTGTTCTTATCGCTGAAGACGGTTCTTTATGTGGCTGTATGTTTGAGGTCACTCTCCTGCTGCAGAATGAATTTAGGACTTTTCAGATCCCCCTTGACGGTACTGCATCATGGGTAAGTATTTGCCTGTAATTTAAAGCATTGAGCTAATAACTGTGACCAAATTTCCAACTCCCTGTACAGAAATGCAGCCCTAGGCCTACAAGGGATCTTCACTGTTGCCTGCAGGTGCTCATCTTTGTACTGCTGTCCAGGCCTTTTGCAAACAAATGACCTTCTGTTACAGCCAAATATTTTACATTTTTGATTTGTCAGTCCAGAGCAACTGCTGTAATTTTTCTGCGCACCAGTTCTTGGGTTTTCACACTAGTCCTTGTTTCATGTCAAAAATATGGATTTTTAGGCACAAGTCTTCCAAGAAGACCACTTATGAACAGGCTTCTCTGTACTTCTGTACTGGGTGTTCCGGGGTCCCAGTGGTTTCTGCCACACCTGAGCTGATGGTTCTACTGGAGATCTTTAATGTAATGCAGTATAGCGTTTTTCATCCTGCACTACGTTTTTTCCTTGGCCAACTACTGTGTTTTTGGTCCACAACTTTGCCTGTTTCTTTTGCTTCAGCAGCAGAGCTTGGACAGCTTATCTGGTAAACTAGCCCTTTACATTCCTCCTTTGATTTAAAGCGGAACTGCTCTGCATTTGAGCACCACAAACCAAAAAATGCTATTTAATCCATTTTTAATATTCAAAGCAAACACGTCCATCCATGTCTCTATGCTTTATTTTGTTGAGAAATCACTTTGAAAAACACCCCCTGTATTTATGGCTATAGCCAGCTGGGCTAAGGGCAAATAATTCACGTAGAATTTACATCCAGAAATCCATCTGTCCATAGCTCAGGCATGCTGACAGGAGGGTGTGCTTAGCTAAGAAAACCCCTCTTCCCCTCCTGAAGACCCTGGGATGTATGACATCATTTGTTCTTTTTACCAATGCTAGCCGCACAAGGATTAAAATTAGTCAATGTTGAGTGAGAGAGTGAAGTTCTACTTTAGTGATTTGTATTTTAACCTACATGATATTAACTTATTGATCATTATCACCCGTTTGGTATAATTGTTTAATTATGCAATGGTCCATATGCCTCTAAAATCCATAAATCATCTAAGCCCACAAATAAAAATGTATATTTCAGCCTACCAATCCTACCAATTTTTTTCAGACCTAAAAATGTTAGCTGGAGTCCAGCTCCTTTTTTTTTTTTTTTTTTTTGCTCGTGAAGTCCATCCAAATTCGTTTGCTAGTGCGTCTAACACTACCCTCTCCCCAGACTGACAATGCTTATGACCAAAGGTCTTTTTGTTGCCCCTACAGCCACAGTGGAAACACCCTAAGACAGTAAATGTGTTACTGGCA